GCCGATGTTCAGTTCAGCAGTGAATTAATATATGTTCTACAATTTTCCCAGCACTTTAAAGCTACAAAATTAAGAGCACACGAGACGTAGATTAGTCACCTGGTGAGATGTTGGTGGTAGTCACTCTGTATGTCTCGAAATGAATATCAGTGAGACACAGTCAAAACTACATTCAATAGGACCGAAATTAAAGTCCCATCTTGTGACCGATTTTGATGAAACAAACGGTTAGGTTTCCCAAGAAGTACAGTAAACATGTGATGCCGACCAAGAGTTAAAAATCATTAGAACATTTAAGTTCTGGCTAAAAGAAAATTCCTGTAAAAGATGCGTTACAATGTTAGTCCACGCAAAAACAAGAAGTTCTACAATTTTCCTATAAACAAACTTTGTATCGCTAAAATACTTAAGGCAGAAACTTTCTATTCCAACTGAAAACGGCGTGGTAGTCGCCCGCCGATCGTTATTAATCCACTCCCGAAATATGGCTAAATCAGCTATTAACAAATTATTGACAGAAATCCTCTACGGCATCGAGAAACTGATTTACATCCGATTTACAGACAAACACTAAATAAAGAACATTTTGCTCAATAGCTACGCATCAGCAATACATTCTATGCCAAACTTTGCGGTTCTGAAAGGGGAATCAAGACACGAGTCGAGCGCCAAACAACAACAAGCAGCCATGTTCGTGTCAGACATCCTTGAGAAACTTGCTCTTTCACCTCGTTTAGCGCATCAGTCTCCACTTTAAATCAACAGATCTTTACTTATTTTGTACAACGAAGGTCTTTCCTAAGTTCCTGCTACCATTTCAATCTCAAGCAAGCTTTCAAAGTGAACAATTTGGTTCCTATGACTATGCAGCACGGTCGCTGTCACTGGTCGCGTGCTCTTTGACAAGTCAGCGGTCGCGCATGCTCATGCAAAAAAGACCCCTGTTAGTAGTAGCACCTCTCCGTAGCGAATCTTAGGGCGCTTTCCATTTGTCTGAACTGAGCGGCCAGCCAATTCCCATCTCAATGAGAATTTCACTTTTCATCAAAATTAACCATCCAGATCAGTCAAATCCTAAATATTATACACAAAGGAGACGGTTTTTCAGTAAAACCTCTTGGAAAAAGACTATTTCATTGCCAAAATATCTGCTCTTTCGATCGTCCCACCGGCCAGTTCCGACTTTTGGAAAGCGCCCTTACAGTCCATAGTATTCCCGGCACTACGCACAACATGTGATCGCTTGTTTCAGTTCAAAACGTTTCAACATTCGTGTAAGAGATTTTTTTTTTGGGGGGGAGATGGGAGGGAGAGGGAAAGAGGGTACAGTGTCTCCTCATATTAACCATCGGGAAGCAAAATAAATTATTCAAACCCGTTTTGATGAAACTTTCAAAGTCCCAGTCAAAACACCGTCTTAGGCAATTTTCCAGTGGATGTTATCGTAAACCGCATGTGCGATTGCTTTCGCGAAATTGCATTTATTTGTTCATGAGTCTTAAAATACGGCAAAACGTACTTCCTCGTACTTCTTATCTTTTGTTTCCATCAAATATTCGTGAACTTAAGAGTCTTCTCCACTTCTTATTCACTAAACAAACAATCTACGATCCTTTGGCCATTGAAATGGAATTCTTTTAAGTGACAAATTATAAATTGTTTCCATTTATTTATTCGATTACCCGCCGTGCTTTTCTCCCGGTGCCCGAAGCAAAACAGCGTACAATCTGGAATACATCAACGTTTGCATGATGCGCTTCGGCGGTCACCAGTTTCAAGTATTCTGTGTCTCTGTCCTCCTGTTGTCAGAAATCTACAGCACTCAAGGTATGTCAGATTATTCGAAATGTACGAACATTGCAACTAGAGAGATTTAGGAGACGATATGTGTAGAATTATACCGATTTTTATATCTGAAAGACTCTATGAAATATGGTATCATCTGATTTGATATCGAGTTAGCTGTACCTCATTTTAATCTCGATATTTATTGAATGTGTTAGCGGAATGACAACCGACTCAGGTCTCAGAAATTTCACGTTTAATCACTTGAAATAAAGATAAATATTACAATTATTCAGAGATCCTCAAGAGCTGTAAATTGACTTTTAAGGCATGAAGATCAAAACAGATAAATTCCGTATCTCTAATCACAATTCGACGCAACGTACCCCGAACATTCCTTAGTTTGCACACTAAGTTTGCAGAGGAACTGACTATTGTAAAGGCAAATATATATTTGAGATATTGTAGTCTGCTATGATTTTTTCGCCATAAACGCAGTAAGGTCGTCAACGAATTCAGTACAAGCCGAAGCAGGTGTCTATAAACAAAACTGCTCTGCAATATTGCTGGTCAGTCCACGAGACTTTAATAATACAAACAACTAAAGACTGTCGATTTTTTAGAGTTTTTCTCCAAACCGAGTTGTAGTTTAATTTGGACTTGGGAATTAGATCAACCACGACTTTATTATAGTAATAATGATCTTTAAAATTTAGTTTCACCAAATTTAATTATATTCAGAATAAGGAAAGACAATCGATGTACATGCACTGAAAAGATTTTCGTTTACTTAATTTTCATCTATCAGATATTACTATCGATCTCTTGAGACATAGGTAACAGGTTTATGAAAAAGAACAACTTCGCACTTTTAGCCTTGTTTTACAGTTTAGGAGATAAACGTTGTTACTTTGAGAAGTAATTTGCTGTCGTTAAGTTAGGTCTTGCACTCAAAAGAGACTGTCTTATAATTACCTAAATTACAATAAGACCCCTTCTGGACGTCAAATACTAATCGTTCTTTTAACTAGTTATTCAAAAGGCGAGAAGCCGATTATTGTTTGTAAATGGATTTTTTTTGTGCAAAGAGCTCACTTAATAACATCGTTTAGCCCGACCAAACTTTTAAGAGACGAACATGCATTATATAAACTAAACCTTTGGGAATTCCGTTCGCGAGATGAAAAAAGCTACTTAATCCAACAACAATCTGAAAAGGCAAAAATTGTAGTTTTTATAAAATACAGTATTAAAAATACTCCAAATCTACAAAATATATATCACATGTGAACGATCTACTATAATAAAACGATCTCTCAAATTATTTTATTTTTTTTGGCAAATAAAAAGGACATGACTAAATTGTCTAGATTCGCGGATGAATGCTTTTCATTGTAGCGAGAGTAGGAGCCGAGTGCTCCGGCTGGTGGAGAATAATCTACCATACGAACGCCAAATGGTAAAAATCTACTGATATTGAAAACGTTAATGTCCTTTGAGAAAATGCAATAAAGACCGATTAGAGGAAAATATCTTGTAAAATCAAATAACTTATTATGGTTTCTACACTGATTAAAATTATTGCCGATTTTTGCTAATTACAACAGGAACGTTTATCACTTTCAGTTAGTCTAAATCATTTCAAAACGTTTTTCGGAGTGCTATCTGAAGACCCTTCTGTAAAGTGATTTTCAATTAAGATAATACTGGAATTCTGTGACTGCGCATCAGAAGGCAATGTCTTAAAATTTAGAAAACTGAGAAAATAATAATGACGTTGAAAACGAACAGAGGGCGGGCATACAGTTGCAAAAGGAATTAACATATTAGAATAGAAGAAACCTTTTGTACACACAACTGAGGCAACTCAACACGCACGGAACACACGGCTTTTCCACAATATTTGGAAAGCGTCAAATAAGTGATAACTTCACGCTACCACCTAAGGTTTAGTAGGCGTAATTTTTATAAACAGACGGTAACCACAAAAATAATAATTTTGTATGTAAATAAGAGTACAAAGAATCGCGCGTATTTGTTGACAACTGTATGTAAACGAGCAACAAAGATGAAATATCTGAAAACCAAATGTAACAGAACAATTGATAATGAAATCAGCGCAGTCACTCATACTGAGACAATTACACTTACAGTATTAAAATCGAACTATCTTGCAAATTAGACTCGTGGGGTTATATTTTTCACTAATGAAGGTTGCTTCCAGTTTTCCAAACCTCACGGGGACGCCAAACGGGTCCAAATTCAAAAGAAAATCAGAGGCGCTTTGCGTTCAACCGGCAAAAATTCCTGAAAAGTCGCAACGTCCTCGAATTGAAAAACTGGAAGTTGAAGTTCCGCAGGCGAACCATTCGGCTGAAAATTCAGACAATTCTGCTAATAAAGTCCAATGGAACAGAGATTTCCGGGAAGATGTTTTCGAAAAGTTTGTTATAACGAACAATTTTGTCCTCCCTATTCGGAAAAACCGACAAAAAACTGGTCCATTCACCACATGAAATTTTAGGATTCCTAAAGAGACCTAGGAGCTAAAAATAAAGCCAAATGAAGGGCAGTGCTTTTCTATAAGGTGTTGCTGATAAATAACATCTGATAATACAGCAAAACATTGTCAGTATTAATAATAAAAATATATGGCACTAGGATCGTTTTAGAGATGATCTTACTGAAAATCGATTGTCATGCTTGCTATTAGTTTAATATACCATACTGTTCAAAGAAAACAAAGGACAACTTAAGACGCAATATGCTAAAATATGCACAAATATGGTTGGAGCAGGACTTTGCAATCTGCTTCATCAAATAAGAATTACAATTTCATTCAATTGTGCTTGCAGATCCAATTATTCTTTATCTGTTAGGCGATATCAAATCATTGATTTGTATCTGTGTGGTTAGGAAATCAGTCTTGCACAGCTGGTTGGAAATTCTTAGACGGTTCTTGTTACTTCTTCTCGAACCAGACCGCTACATGGTTGAAAGCACGCAAGCGATGCAAGGAACATGGGGCCGACCTTGTAACTGTAACTTCGGATGCCGAAAATGCATTCATTGTTTCTCATTACTCAAGCCTTCGATGTTTGTCCGAGGGGGCCTGGTTGGGGCTTCGTCGGCATCCCAAGAATGTTACGCGATGGATTTGGTTGGATGAGTTAGAAACTGAATTGAAGTACACAAAATGGCATAGAAAAGAACCAATGAACAATCGCATTGATAGGAATTGCACGGAAATTCACCCAACTAAAAGTATTTACTGGTATGGGAGCCCATGTCACGTACAAGGATGTTACATATGCGTGAGAGGTGAGTAACGCTTGGAAACAGTGTCTAAACTACACTCAGGGGTACTAACTATAATGGCCAATACGGGGAGGCCCTGCCCAAAAGGGGTACCTTTTCCGGGCTTCAGGTATATGAAAGGGTAGGGAACTGTCATTTTGGTCAGTAAAACCACAGGTGTCTCAAGCTCACGTTACGAGTGGGTCATGGATATTTTCTCAAAGAGAGTCGGTGACGCGTTTAAAGCGACCGTTGAGGCTTTTCATAAGAAATAAGATACTGAGGTCTGCCAAGGCTAAATACCATTTTATTTTTACTTTTTTCTACAAAATAAATAAAGGACACTTACCTCAAGAACAGCCAAAAAAAACCCGACTAAATAGATGAATTCACATCAAAAAACACAGGAAAACATCAAAGGTAAGTCTCCTTTTTTTTATTTTTAAGAAAAAAAGTAAAAATAAAATGACGCGACACCGACTCTCTTGTGAGAACATATACATAACACACCCGTAACGTGAGCTTGGGACGCCTGTGGTAGAACAGGCTAGTAGATGCATTTTATGGCAGTGAAAAAGTCGAGAAAACGGCGTCTGGTTTTGTGATTTATTCATATTTAAAAGACAGTGTATTTACAGCAGTTAAAAGGGATGCAAAGTTATAAACTAGGTATGTTAAAGGGGTACAATTTGTCAGTAGAAGGTATACGAAAGGGCTATCTTTTGTGTCAAAAATGCTATATAAAAGGGTAAGAGGTCGGACCTCGGAACGAAGCCTCTCTGTAAAAAACTTTGTCGAGTACTTTCCCCTGGGGTAACTACACCGAAAATGACTGAGACAAAGATTTGAAACTAGCGGCTTCAAACAACACATGTCAGAAGTGCCTGCTTAGTACGCTAAATAGGCCTGTTGGTAAACATAGAATAATTTGGACAGGAACCACGCGAATGGTAGAGCTAAGTTTTGATAAAGAATACACTGGGAGATAATAACCACAGCTGAGAAATTGAAAAAAAAATTGATGATGATAATAATTAATAATCAGTTACACGAAAGTGAAAATGCGAAAAAAGATATGAAAATCTGCAGAAGATCTTTCAGCTAGCGATGAACTCGACTTTCGATCTTTGGTCACGGTTTTGTTTTGACTCTAGAGGTGGGGTGTATTTTACCTAAGCCTTCCTTCTCAATTTTACAGTAAATTTATGAAATAGTTCTAACGGAAAAATTGTGGCTTAAAATAACACAAGTTTTAATCTTAGACGCAAACGAATGCAATAACAAAGATGTTTGCCGTGGAAGACCATGCATAAACATTCCAAGAAGCTACAAGTGCTCATGTGGGACTGGTTACTTGGCAACAAAGGAAGGTCGTGAGTGTGAAGGTAGGAAATACAGTACTGAGAAACAGTTCTGAAGTGGCCAACGTCAAAATTCACAAAATTACCTCATTCCGCTTTGTAAAATGTTGAAAACTAATAAGCATTATGTAAAAGTACTGCTTAAGAGGTTCCATTTGAATGGTAACACTGTATGATTTCGTCCACAGACTCAAAAGTTAAGAGAGTCACATTACAAGAGTCTATCGTTCACTCTGGAAGAGTAGGAGTAAAAAAACCTTAATTCATATAGAAAATTGATCTCAACTTGCTTGAAAGAAAATGTCTATAAATTCCTTTTTATTTTCTTTATTCTTACAAGAAAAGAGAATATTTAGTGAACAAAAAGCACTGAAGGAAAATCTTCGTTTTCGGAGTTTAATTTTCCGCGTTACAACATTTAGAATATTGTGACGTCATTCCGAGTCGTTTCCATGCAAACATCATGCAACGATACGGCGCGTTACTACCCTCGCGCGTGAAGAAAACATAAAACAAACCTTTCACTTTCACGGTTTAACATCCTAATCGCGCATCACAATGATGAATCACGAATCCTACATCACAGTGATGAATCCCGAATCACGAATGCAGAAACACTTCTCACGGTGACGAAACGCGAATCATTAATGTAAAATCACTCATCACGCTGATGAATCACGAATCACGGATCACGAATGCAGAATCACACATCACAATGATGAATCACGCTATCACAATAGATGCTTCAAGGATATAGGATCATTCACCGCTATCCTTTTGAAGTATAACTTCTAACATTATTTGTCTGTCTCTACATATTTCACCTAGATATTGATGAGTGTAAGCATCAAAATGGCGGATGCCCTCACAATTGCATAAACACACCTGGAAGTTTCTTTTGTCATTGCAAGGACGGGTATATAACGGAAAGAAATGGCATAATTTGCAGGCAACGTGAGTATAGACCTACCCATTAACGAAGCTACAGTGCATAGGTAAATTAACATATTGTAAACACCATAAAGCTAAAATAATTACCCAAATGCCCCTTAGCTTAAACGTACAATAGCCCATTAATGAAGCTACAGTGTACAGGTAACTAACACAACATACATGTAAAGCTTAAACATCAAACGTACTCATTAATGAAGCTACAGTGCACAGATAACCTAACATCGCACCTTCAGGCATAAACATATAGGTGTAGACGTACCCATTAATGAAGTAACAGTGTACAGGTAACCCAACATCGTGCCTTCAAGTTTACACTGGAATATATTTATAGACATCCCCATTAATGAAACTACAGTGTACAAGACCCAACATCGCACCTTCAAACTTAAACATTTTGGTAAGGTATGTAAATGGCGGTTGGTGGAAAGTTACTGGCCACCACTGAGTCAGCCTCTACAAACTTTAAGTTATTAGTTACCGACGTTCAAGACCGATTCATTTTAACTAAAACGGTTTGTTTGTGGCAGTGTATTATACACATCAAAGATCTATCAGCATTAAAAGGAAACACAGATCTCAGGCTTCACTTTTTTCCATAATTCTACATTAGGAGCCAAAATTATTACAAATGTTATAGGTATTTTCAATGATATTATCGAATATAGGTAAAGTACCTGATGATTTCAATACATTTATCTTCTAAAGTATCTCGTACCTTTTATTTACCTTGCTGTAGAGTTGCTTGAATTTACAACTGCAAGTACAAGCGGAACAGAAACAAGAAAAATGACTACATTGAGCATGGAAAGTAAAAATTACACGCAAGCAACCAAAGAACAAGAAACTCCCAAGGAAAGCAAACAACAGGATGGTTTGTACAAGATAATTCCTTTCTTTTACACTGTTAAATTCTAAAATCCTGTGTGTGGAAATTGTTTGTAACTTTGTAACAGTTGGCAAGCTACAGGACAATACACCAGGGCCAGGTTGTTCAAAGCAGGGTTAAGTTAACCTAGGGTTGGCGCAAAATTTGAATTTAGACATCAAAGCTTAAAAATCAAACTCTGTTTTATTCTCTTTGTCTACAGTTTGATGATTGGATGGCCTAAAAAGAGAAGTGAAAATAATCTGGGAAAATTGTTTTGAACAAAAGAAAAAGAAACCCAGGTTAACTTTAGCCCTGGGTTAGTGCTAATCGGCCTTCGAACAACTGGGGCCAGTTTTGTTTTGCTGATGTAAAGGCTGTCACTATCACTATTTCATTCACCACTTTAGAAATGAGAAGCAAACTGGGCCAAGTTAACTTTCACAAAGACTTTTGGGAATGTTACTTAAGGGACAGGGGAAACAAATTGGCCAATAGGCAAAGAAAGTAGTGTCCGATAGCCCGGAGCTAGTGGATTTTGCTATTGGGCTAGTGATTTTTGTTCTTAACTTGCCCGATAGGCAAGTGAAGTATTTTGAGGAATTCAACTTACAAAAGAACTGTGAAATCAATTCTGCTCATTAAAACATTTTGGGGGCTAGTTGAAATGAAGTTTGGGCTAGTAAATGCTAGCTTCAGCTTGCCCAAATGGCAAGCTGTAAAAATGACTTTCTTTGCACCCTGAATAGGTGACCAGTGTGTCCCCAATAACAATTCCATCAGTTATTGCAGGACACATTTCAGCCCCAGTCCCCTTCTCGTATCTAAAGTGGTGAATTGACCTGGGAAAGTACCTGATCTATGGTACAACAAAGTGTCCAATGGGCTTGCATTCATTCTCCTTTCAGAGCCATTTGAACTGGAGCCGAGAGTCTCGCCATTAGCAAGTTTTGGAGTCCTGTTTACCATGGCAATCCCATTGTGCTTCATTGTCTGTTTTCTCATTGTATGTTACCTCAAAGGGCCTGGAAAAGACAAGAGTGAAAAGGAGGTTGGAGTTTCTGGCCACTTAATAGAGTCTGTTTCTCCCATCTTAGACACTGCTTTTATTGATACCAAGAACACTAATGGAAAAAACAAGGAGAAAAAAACATCTGTGAAGACTAGTAATGGCACAATCGAAGAGGATGAGCCAACAGACTGTATGGTATAAATAGGTTCAATCGCCCATACATAATACAGCAAGTGCAGAAAGGCTCATATTATTTAAAAGATAGATCTTTGTGCTCAAAAATGAGACACTAAAACAGAGTTAACAGAACTATATGTAAAGCTATGTAGCCTGTGTAGCAAGCATCTGCGCTTGAGTTAATGCGCAAAGGCGAAACAAGAGCAAAAAGTAAAAGAAGGGGGAGGGGAGAGAAGGAAACAAAATCTCATATTCTGCTGGGGCTGAGCAGTTTTTCATTCATTTAAAACTAAATGGTCACATCCTGAAGTCCAGCATTCAGGTCCAAAGTCCAACAACTGTCATCCCACTGCTAGACATGGCATCCTCCAAGAAAAGGATTCTTTCATTTCCAAAAAGAGCATTTTTATTGACTGATGAAGAAATAAGCTTTCTTGCACAGTAAAAGCATTTAACTTATTGTATGAACAGTAAAATAAAATTAACATTTTGCCTTCACTTGCCAGAAAGACACTCAAAAAAGAGTAGGTGCGGGAGCCTGTAAGTCAGTAAGGACCTCAAAGTCAATTTATTGCAAAACTACCAGAAAATTAAAAGACCACACTTAATTACAAAACACCCTAGGATGAAAAACAAACCTCTAAAGAAACTAATTTGTGGAAAAAGGGAACATGTACCCCCACCTGCTGAAATCAGCTGTGGTGCGGACAGCACATGGGCAGAGGTACTCAAATACTAACGACTGCCAAATGCCTAAAGACAAAACTAACAAAATCTGCAAATAAAATAAAAGTTAGGAGCTCGAATGAATGCTGACCTTGACTGATTCAGATTTGCAACGTACAACTAAACATATCTCAGAAAGCTACCAACAATTCCTCCAAGCCGACACAGTCCTCTGGTCCATGCCAGCAACATAGCTGTTTCTTTCTGTTCCTTTATACTTCACTGTCAGAAATACCACTTTACAGCTATAACTTTATAGTAATGATACCTTGCCAGCAAGCTCTCTGAAGAGGAGAGTGGGGGAAAGGTTAACGAGAAAGCAACTTTTCCCTTCTCCACCCTAGCCTCCCCTGCAGGTGTTTTTGGTTCGTCATGCAAGCAGGAATGCATGACAAACCCCTAAGAACATCTGCTTAGGAAACTACCCCCACCCAAAAGAGCTTGATCACAGGCTCAGTTAGTTCAGGGGGGAATCCAGGATTTGTCACCTCCATCATAAATCCTCCTCTTTAAGGAGCAGATCCAGGACTTTTCTTAGGAGGGGGTGCACCACAAAGAAATGGCATAACTAACTGGTGATGTAAATTTTGATGCAGAATACCAGTTGTGTTAGAAAGCTGCAGGTCATCTCATGGGGGGTGGGGGGCGGATGTGCACCCCCTGCACCCTCCCTCTAGATCCATCCCTGTAGTTATGAGGAGAGTACCTAAATCATAGCTTCAGCTTGCTCTTCTCAATTAGCATTACACCCAGTCAGTAAATGAATGTGGGGGTTTGAGTTTTCACTTGATTTTGAACCTTCCAAAATCTACAATCTACGTTGTATATGTCATGGCCATGCCCAGGTGTTAACAGAAAACAATTCTACAAAATGGTCCAAAAAGAAAATAAAGGTTACGTCTAACATACCTTGATTGCCTATCGTCCTTTTCTCTGATGGAAAATTTCACGGTTTTCTGGATACAAGAAACTGAAAAGATCACCGATCTGGCGCTTTAGAAACGAAAATAAACTCTGTCTTTACAAATGAGGAATTCCCTCACATCCCAGGAGAAAATAAAAGTGAAACTTAAGTCACAAAGGTCGAAATTTTGACATCCTCTACCAAAAGATCGCGTTTTGCAAAAGGACCGCCGTCGCACCTCGTCCGCCATTTTTTAAAATAAGCTGCCTGCGCTGGAATGGGCACCAAGGTGTATTCCAAGACTTCCGGAAGTGGATCCAACTGATCAACTGATCTAACTGTTTTTAGGCAAGAAGATTGAAAGCGAAAATAATGTTTAGGAAAATAAACTTTAATCTTTCTGATAATGTGTTTTTCTTCGAATGTCTAGTCCCCAATCCCCCACCCCTGTTTTCCTTCCTCCCAATCCTCTTATTTCGACGCCTGATAGGCGAACCAGGGTCCGTGACGAACCCCCCCTTTTCTGCGTGGGAGGCAAATGCATTCTAAAGCATTCTAAGTCCCCCCCTGGAGTTTTGTCCCTCAGCTCTAAATGGTTTTTACGGTTTCCTTGCCGTCTTCATTTTTTTCGCGGCTCAATTTCTTTCATTTCTTTCGCGTCTGTTTTCTTGGATGAACCTGTTGGCGGACCATAGAGTTTTTGTCAGACTACGACGCCGTGACAACGAACAAGAGGAAAGCAACTACCTGAGTTTCCGGTCATAACAAAAGAGTCTTTGTTTTGTAAACTTGTAGTTTGATACTTGAATAAAGGTATTGAGGCCTTGAAGCTGTCTCTCAATTATGACAGTAAAGTATGTTACATCGAAATGAGCAGTTATTCTCCGGTTATTCAGGCCATTTGAAAGAATTTTCGTGCACAAGGAAACTTATATGAAGGTTTCGGGGTCGCTGTTGGAGGAGAAGTTCTGTTACAATCAAACAATCCTAGAAATTATTAAGACATCCGTCGATTTACATGATAACTCTGGAGATAAACCTTGAATGTGACTCCACGGAAAACAAATGATGCCTTTTCTAGTAGTAATTGCTGTTGCTCTTACTTTATACAGCGGAATACGAGGTAAGTTGAATATAATGTAACTTGCAGCAAGTCGCCTTTTTCTTACGTTTTACAAATATCACAAGGAATAATATGAACACAGTGCGTTGTGACTGAAGCCCTGTTAGTCCTGTTAAAGTAAAATTCCATCAAGCGACATGGTCTTAAACAGCCGGCAACGTAGGATGGAGAAAATGGTGATAAACGACTTCGGCAGGGACATAGCTTCCTCCTCAAAACGCGCAACGGCGGCAGGTTTGGTGATATTTAGATTTGAAACATACGTACCCCTCCTCACCCTCCCCCCACCCACTGGTTAATCGACCGCCCTTTACTGTCGACTTTTCGGGGTGTGGATCGTACCCGAGACTACCAGTCTATCGCCTTCTCAACAAGAACTGACAGACAGCAAACATATTATTCGTTGGTAGCGTGCAAACAACTGAGGGGAGGTGAACTTAGGCCGTCGGCGTAAAAGCCTGGGGGTAGCCTTAATGGGGAGTCTGGATCGCCGAATGGATTCTCAAAACACCGAGGATAAGAACTGACAGACATTGCAAATTTTATATTTAAACGGTAGATTGGTAACGTGCAAACAACTGTTCGGGGAGGTGAACTGATCCGTTTATAGGGATCTCAGAAAATTTCAGCTAGGAAAAGGCTCGGGGCTAAGTGGGGGGTAAATATCCGTTTAAAATGGGTAATTATACCATTTTGTAGATGTTAAAAGGCTAAGGCAGGGGATTTTACCGCAAATGGATGGTTCTCAAATCGTCTTCCGAACAGATATTTTCCCGAATGGATTGACTATAATGGGGTCGCATTTTCAATAGAGTTGCTAGAATGGGGTCGCACATTTTCGAATTTTGGGCGGTAAGACACTAGTTCTTCATATTTACGGTTAGCAAACGTACCAGAGTGTTTGCACTGCAGATGAAAAGTAAAGTGTTCTTCATTCAAAACGACGGTCTGCCACTAACTAGGACATCTAAGTACCAGGGCTCCTTTAGGTTCAGTAGGACCAGGTTCAGGTTCAGGTTCCTTCAATGGGACCGTTGGGATAAAAGCAATGCCACGTAGAATTTCAAAAGGTAAAACAAGTGACAAAATTTGCCAATACGAGTAACGGCGTTCGCGTTTGTTTATTCTCTCAAAACGAGACTAAATGTACAGTTCGAGTTTCGACAGGTTTTACATCCTTAGTACTTGCTGTGAGGACATCTACGTTCGTTACTGCATGTAAAAAAAGTAACAATGATAGTTTGTCATTATTGTTTTAAAGATGAAAAGTTTTTCATTCTTTGTTGTCTACAATAAACAAACTTGAAGCGATTTCTTGCATTGGAAAATTTTACCACTTGTTTTCCCCTTAAAAACCACGTGACACGCTTAAGAGCGTGTGCAAAGATGGCTGGCATCGTGATTAAGGTCTATTAAAGCGGGCCCATGGTGGTTCCGCTCACAGGGTTGTCATGGTTACGCTCCGCTCTCGCTTGGGGCTCCAAAAGTTTGTTCAGTTAACTTTTCTACACCTATCTAGTGGCAATGGGTCATTATACGTTTCCACCTAAGCCAACATTAGCACTTACTTCTCACTTAGAGCAAAATGTTGGCTTAGGGGAGGGGTAGGAAGGCAGTTTGCCAGAAAAGTATAATCTTTAGGATCCCTATTTGGCTTGTTTTTTAAATAGCTGGAGCTGGTGTTAAGGTGACTGTTGACTGTGATCTGGACCAGATGAGTGTACACATACCGAAAACCTTGATTCCAGGCTTCCAACTGGCAGACTTACTGCTCTTAGATCCAAACTGTGAGCCAGTGAAAAGCGAGAACAGTAGTCACATGACCGTAACAACGCCTCTGACTGACTGTGGCACCGAGATGCAACACACGAAAGAAAATGTCATTTATAGAAATGTTATTGAGGATGGATATGCAAGGAATGCAATAGTCGGCCGACTACAGGTTTGTTTGTGTGCTCAATAGCTTTGTAACTTCTTGTGAGGTGTAGGATGAAGAGATTTAGCACAAGCAGCCATTGGAGGGGGGGAGGGGTAGGGGCAGACGAAAGGGAGGAGGGAGACCCAGTAGGCAAAGCCCTAGCCGCGAGAGTTTCCTTCCTTTTTTCTAATAGAGAGCTTAAGCAGCTACGTTTTTAAGCGACGCACGTCAACCGGAAGTGAGCTTTTTTCCCTTTTAATACGCCTTGCATGGCTAAATGTCTTTACTCTTATAGAGACGATTTGCCCAAAAATTTTTCCAAAATCACGGCTCAAGAGTGCAAAAAGTACACTTCCGTGCGTCGCTCAAAAACGTGGCTAGCCTGCGAGCAAGCTCTCTTAATTGGGCGAGCGAAGCGATACTCGCAGACTAAAACGTCGCTGCTTAAATTTCCTCACTTCCCTAAAATAGGGAAAACGTCCTCAAGCAAGACTAATCTACTGATCCGCGACTCGTGAGAATCGCGAGAGGAGAGAAAGAAGGAGAGGTTCTCTTCAATTCCCCCCCTCAGTGCTTCTCTTCTCTTACTGCTAATTTGCATAATCATCAATGAGCTCGCATGCCCCCACTGATCTGGAGAAAGAGGACGACTGCTAGGAGTCTAACAAAGCCTAATAACGCTGATCCATGTCTCTTACTCTTCCTTAGGTTTTGGAGATTCCATTCGAGTGTGTTTATCTAAACCAGGCAGAGGCCTCTCTCGTCCAAATGAATGTTGAGCAAACCAAGGCTATTGCTTTAGCACCTGAAGAAGGCTCAGGAATGTTCGCTCTTAAAATAGATATATTTAAGGTAAGGGCCTTAAATTATGCTTAGGCCTTCATTGAAATTTCTTCGCCGTAATGTCGTACCCACATCTCTTGTCGACGGATTCTTCAACAAGAGATCAGAAGCCTGTTTCTCGAAAGTCCCGATAACTTTTACTTTTCTGGCCTGGAAAGCGGTTTTGTGTTTGTTGTGCGTTCAAGATCAAACTTTAAATAACTTTGAGAATAATACAATGAAACTATCAGAAAACGAAGCAATTTTGACTGGTTTGTGGGCTAGCAACTGTGCTACTATTCAACAAGTTTTGATTTTAAAATTTGCCTTCAGGCCCGAAAAGTTTCCGGGTCTGTCGAGAAACGGGCCGCTGGTTTACGAGTTTATGTTCACAGCTCATGGGATGAATTATTGCTATTTACAATAACAACAACAATCTTTTTATTAACACTATTCAGGTACGAAGAAGAAGAAAAAACATGAGAATGCAAGAAACTATAGAAAATAAAATGATAGAAATTATATAACTATATTTACAATTTTTGAATCAGTGTGCAACAGCCAAAGTAGCAAAGCTTTCGAGTTCGCTGCTGCTTATTTACAAGTAAAGAAAGGAACAAAGGAAAGAAATAGTACTGATAGATTAAACTTATTCACATAATTCGTTCTCCTCGCTTCCTTTCTTATGTAAACATTTGCAAGAGCGGAGCTCTTGAAAACGTGGCCGACACCATTAGCTAATTAATTCACCCAAATTTTCAAAAGTTAAAAATTTTAAAAAGTTGACAATCTTAATAGGCCATTTCTGTGTTCCGAGTTGAAAGCTATTTAAGAGGACATAATTGCTTGGAAGACATTTACATCAAAATTCAAGAAAAATGATTGGGCACAAATTGCATAACTACCTCGTGTAGCCAGCCCATATACCTGTGTTACCGGGCCTAAATATTTGGTTTGATCACTGTACTACTTGTAGTAAATTATGCGTTGTTGAGGTTATCTAAAAAGCTTATTAAAAGAGCTCAAAGTGTTGGTGAGGTTAGTGCGTACTTGTCAAGAGTACAATTTTCTGGATATGTGGAAATGAAAGTCAGCCAGGCCTGAACTAGTCGAAATGCTGGCTACGCTCCTGTAATATACACGTGCAGAAATGCAGACATGATTCTGAAATCTACAACTACCAGCGGATTCAACTTTCGAATAATAAATGCATTAACGGAATCTTGGGGTAGGATTGACCTGGCTTGACTGTAAGAATTGTCATTTATAGAGTGAAGACTATGCCGAGGAATACTTGAGTTTCCCAATAGTGGTGACATTGCAACAGCGTCTTTATTTACAAGTATCAGTAGACACACCCGACACGCGGTTAGGAATCACTGCTGACACGTGCTATGCCACACCCATCAACAGCATCTCAAAGAAAGAAAAACATGACATCATTCTCAATGGGTAGGTATGGTTTTGCCGCTTAATTTTTAAATTTTGTTACAGGCGTGCTCTGTCATATGTGACCAGTAACACTGAGATTTGAATAAAATAGAAGTCTCCCTGGAAGCACTTTGAAGGTCATTAATTAACAGGGAAATATCTGAAGTAGTATTTTGCGGATGTGCAACATGTGAGGCTAAGCCTCAGTTGATCTGGCGGACTGAAACTTTTAAATAATTAAAAACTAATAAAAGTAGTTCTCTTCTAGTGAATACAGCAAAAAAATATCACGCGTTTATTTATAGCTTTCAACCTTTCCTGCGTACCCGGGCCTTCACAATATTCTAGATATGATAATTTAAAAGGGACGTTTTCAACATCTTTCTCGGTCCATCCTTCTTTCCAATCAGTCATCGTTGACCACAGACTGTTGCTAAGAATAAGATACTCGAAATTAGATGAGGGAAATGCTATTTTTTCATGACGCAGGACCAAGTCTTAGTAACCTGGTCGCCATACTCTTAGCGTACATGGGTAGGTGTCTAGTCCAAAACAACAGCCCACCCCACTTCACCCCTAAATTCCTTGAACAACGCTCTTTAACCACTCCACCCCTATCTCCCCTGTCCAAGGCCCCTTACATCGATGACTTCTCTGAACAAGGTTACGTTTGACTTTTGATTGTGACAAGAAAAAAATGATTAAGAATTTTTTTTCGTTTCAAACAACTTCATTTATTTTACAAAAGGTGCCCGACAGATGAGACCGTCAAGTTCTATGGTGCTCCCGCAACAGCGCGACGGTTCAGTTTTACGGCATTTCAGTTTATCAATGGTCCTGTTGAGCCATACCTTTACGTACATTGTGACGTTAAACTGTGTAATTTAACAGACTCCAAGCCCAGTTGCATGAAGGAATGCAATGACAAGTTAGAAAGTAGGCAGAGAAGGGAGGTGAAAACAGATATTTATGACCTGGAGCGAGGTCCAATTATCATTTTAAGAGAAAAGGAATACAGCTTAGAAAATGACGCTGAAAATGAGGAAATGGGGGAAAAAAGAGGTAATTGAAACCCTTTTTTTCTATTTTATCGTGAAATTATAGTGCTAAAAAGCTAATAAGGCACAGTTTAACATCGCTCAAAATTTGTTGCTTAATAAACGACGTGTTTAGTGTTCAACACATTGCCAGTTGTTGCACGTAAAAGAGCCCATATTATTCTCGTTCAACAAAATGGTCTGTTTCAGCATTCAACATGGAAAGCTATGAGAGCTGCAACATCTGTTGATCAGCAAAAGTTGAAACTTATGTTATTCTCAGTGTTATTGGAAAAGGCTGCTAATATAAATTGAAAAGCGATATTTACTCCTGACTTTTAGAGTCTTTGGCTTAACATGCAAAAATCAACTAAGCCTCAAACCTCAGATGCGCGACTCAGCCTCACGCTAAGGCCACAGATTCAAGTTTTCCCTTTTCACTGCAAGAATATTCACCTCAAAATCACATCTTTTTGCATGGGCAGTCCTTTATTTGATTTAAACGACTCTCTAATGCTTAATTTAGGACTGGCATCCAGTGCAATATTGCCTTTAGAATTGCTTCTTTCTACCCTATCTATATCTTTTCGTTTTAGATCCTTCGTCTTCAAGAATAACCCCCTGGTTGCTTGTTGTTATGGGGATCATGTGTGCTATTTGTTTTGGTGCTGTAATACACACTGTAATGGAAGTCAAACGAGCAAGAAAAGCTTCAGATTCTAAGAAGGACCTATTATGTAGCCTCTCGCCGCCCTGCTCCGGAGAATAACGCTTCGCTCTTGTGGCAGAATTTCTGAAGAAAAAGTAACATGATGAGATTTGAGAAAACAGCCGACATTTCGCGATACCACCATTGGTTTAACCACTGAATGACGTCTGAGGACCGAGCGCAGAAATCCATACTGATGACGCGCAATTACCCAGTTCTGGCTAGTACTTCTAATTGGTTGAAAATTTGCTTCATTCAATCAGGAGCACTACCCAGATCTAGGTAGTGACACGTCATCAGTATGGAATGTCTGCGATCGTTCTTCAGACGGCTTGGAATCCAGAATCCATGATCATGCTAAAAACCGTCATTGTCTATGTATAGCTAACAGATCCTTTTCGCACTCAACTCTGAAATTATTCATGCAAAACAAGAAACTGCAAAAAATCTTTAACAAAGTGCTGAATTTAATCTTTTTTAATGGTTATACATTTACAGAAAACATTTCAGGGATGAAGTGCAGAGACTTCAAATTACTTTATTTAATGTTATTATTTACTTTTATATAGAATAATTATCTCTAAACTTATTTTTCAATCGCCTTAAAAGTGTTTTTTTCTTTGTCCGATCGCTATAAAATTTTCACCAGTAACTGGCTATGGATTGAAATTTGTGAAAATGTAGTTTTAAGTAAAATCGATATTACAATGACGACAATAAACAAAAAACTTTGAAATTGATAAAAGCCGAATTTTGGGTGATCTAGACCAGCTACTGAAAATCCAACACTAGGAATTTAAAGTTTGGTGTTTAGCAAACAATCTCCCTAAGAAGTAAAAAATTCTGTATGTTTCAATTCGACAAAAACGAAAATATATTTCAAACCTTAAATTTTCAATAGCCGTGATAGATTATTTAATAAAAACGTTATAAATGACTCAAATTATTTTTAAGTAGCATCAGAATGCTGCTTAATATCATATTTTGATGCTACGAAATATTGGTGTATTTTTCTTCTTGTGATCTTGAAAACTAACCCGTTCTCTCACCACCTGTATAAGTGCAACTTCATTCAAAATTTGGTCTTTTAGCGCTTTTTTGCCGAATATCTCTGAAACGACTCAAACGAATTTTTTTAAAATCTCTTCACATAATCTTCATAATGTATATAATAATCTCTGAAACTTTCATTAAGATTGATTCACTGCAACACCTTGAAATTTCGAGACAAACCTATCCTACGAACCCGTCAAAAATCTGCGTTAAAACATTCACTGCTTTGACGTTATGCTAATTTTTCCAAAATAGTGTGCACTATACATACGTCCACGACTAGTACATTTTAGTTTGAATTTATCGTATCTTTTGAATGTAAAACATTGACAATATTCACGCTGAAATGTACTAACCATGGATATATATATTGTTTTGTTCATTGTTGTCATAGTAATATCGATTTTACTAAAACCTACATTTTGACAAATTTCAATCTATATAAAATCATTGGTGAAAATTTTATCGCGATCAGACAAGGATAAAATCACTTTTAAAGCGATTGAAAATATCGGTGTGGCCTCTGAAAAACTATATCGAAACACCTTAAGTAAGTTATCGGTTACAAGACATTCCTTTCATCTCTATTTCACCTCTGTGACGCTGTTTGGGTAAAAGACAGTTAACTAAAACTTTTAATCCTTTCCGATACCTTTCATTTAATATTATATAAACCCACGGGTTTAAAGAAGCATTTGAATAAAACAAGAATTTCGCGGCTTTAAATAGTTTTCTCGTTGCACATGTCGCTAGCCCATCCCACAAAAAATAATGAACAAGTCCTAAAATAGTTATTGGAAAAATGCACAAGATGAACAGAAAGACAATGATCAATATCTTGTTGACAATGGCTCTGTTTTCTTTCTGCCTCTGTCGCCTTATTCTTGATGTTCCATTTTCAGTAGGATCTTTTTTCTTTAGTTCTATAACTATCAGTGCATATAAAGTTAGAATCACAATTAGGGGAAAGAAAATTAAAAAGATGGAAACGAAAAGAAAGTATCGTTCTTGTGTATGCTCTTCAAACTTCGGTGCCCAGCAAAAAGTGCAAGACCACTTTTGGCCTGTCTTTACCAGCCGCGCGGTATAGAAATAAGTTCCGTGTAGACCCATTGCCACCATCCAAATAACCACAATTATTACCTTACAGACCTTGGATGTAATAACTGGAGGACGGAATGGAAAGACGACTCCCTGATATCTGTCAACTGCTATGGCTACCAGGCTTTGTATAGATACTGCCGTTGAAATGTCTTGGAGAAAGTAGACCAGCTTACATGATATTGAACCTGCTAAGCCATCGAGAAGCCATATCTTTGAACCAGCAAAAATTTGCGCGAGTTCTCGTGGTACTGCGAAGGCAGAGATTAATAGATCAGAAGCGGCCATGTTCGCGATCAGGTAATTCGTTGTCGTCCGCATCCTTTTGTTTTTTGACACGATTGCAATTACAGCTAAGTTTCCAAGCAGCGAAGTTAACATGATCGACGAGTAAGCGACTATTTTGATGCATTTCAACAAAGTCGAGGCCTGCGGGCAGATCTTCTCCGACGTCGAGTTGGTGTAATTTTGGTATTCCATGACTGGACGACAGACAAATAATCTCCCCTGAAGATGTTCCAAAAGTGGCAAAAAGCAAAACCAACCGTCGTACATTTATTGTTGTACAAAGACACCTGTCATATGCAAATTTAAATCAGATTAGCTTAACACAGTAAACCATTTCGCACTTAGAGAGATTTTGCCCGTTAATCTTTTTTCTTATCACCCCCAATAACTAATTAAGTCTGTGATCAAAGAAAAAATGATGGTATTCTATATTATAACATTAGCACATTAACAAATGTCAGTCGTTAAATTGTGAGGGAAAAAAGGTCGCTGGTGAGTTTTTTGCCAGTGGATTTAATCGTCAACGTACGTAATATCTTTTTGTTCAATATGATGATGGCTGAACTTTGTTTCTGTCAAGTTGTATGTTACACTTCAGAAGATACTTCAATCTCTTTTTATCAGGGTGGTGTTGTTATGGTATCAGTATAAAGATAACCAATGAAATGGTTTCAGGATAAGTATGTAGGCAGGCACTCGCTGATCTCATATTGCTTCCAGTTAAACTTTCCATAACAAGACGAAAAAGATAATCTCTTCTAAGTGGTGTTGCCAGAAAAATGGGGTAAAGTGGAAACCTTTAACTGCTCATCTATTTGTAGCTAAAACACACATTCTATGTACCGATAAAGCTATTGTATGGATAGGATTAAACATTTTGGCACTAACCGAGAAATTTTTGTCCATCGATCTGGTTCTTTTCACAGCCATCTGAATGATTTTGTTATGTGACAGAAAGCGAGAAAGAGATTATAAAATCCAGTGGACTCATTATTCTCTTTGGATACGAATATTTTTGCTATATTTCTATATATTTTGTAGCGAAGGTGAATTTCAGAATTTGAAGTGTGAAGCGAAAAGGATGGGAGCGACATTTTTACCAGTGATATCTCATATTATCGTTCTACTTACAGTTTTGGATTATTTCTGCTATCGGTTATTATTCACAAGATATACTTCAATTGTGTTCACCAAGGCTGTATAAGGAATGTCACTTAATTAATAGCATTATAAAGACAACCAATGAGATAATTCCATGATAAATCAAGGCCACATATGGAAACCTAAGTGGAGCAGCTGACTAAATAGATATTCAAAAGTAGAGTGAAAAATAGAAACTTTCCGAAGCAATACAATTTACTTATTTAAAACCACACTCTTGCTGCTATCGCCTTCAATTCCTGCGAAGACTAATGTACTCAAACTGAACATTAACAGTCACTGTCTGCTAATTAATAGTTCGGTAGAGAGCCTTCCCTTAAAGATGAGATAACTTTAAAAAAAACCGTTGAAATTGCAATACCAGAAATACTTTTCAAGATGTTAAACAACATGTAAAACGTGAGGAGCCTATTACTCTGAAAACATTTTTATATACATTTTGACTTACATTCAACATTCATGTCAGTTCGTTGCGAATTCACAGTTTTTTTCTTTTTATTAGTATAATTATTATTTTATTTCTCGTTTGGGGAGATCACGGTTTCACTTCTCGCCCACAGCAGTCCATATTTGATTTCCAATTTTTTATTATTAACGAACTGTACGGCTTTAATAGATTTACGAGATAGAAGAATATTAGGCTTATCTGAATACGTTTTTCAACATTTATATTTCGCAGACAATTCTGGTGAGAAAGGACAGTTCCGTGCATCTGTCTTGCAAAGATTATCTGCTTCTTCCATATGCAAAACATTTATTTTTCTTACTATATTTACATTTCTTTCTTTTAGTAATAAGTAACTATTTATATTTCTCACAAAAAATGAAATTGTTATTTGTTTGATAGTCCAGTAGTAAAGAAAAGCTTATTAGAAAAACACAGTTAAAACTATCTGCAGATGCCCGAGGGAGAACTACAGGCGGCTATTAAATTTGAGGAAAATTAGGGTAGAAGTATATTTTAATTTTGGAGTAGTTCTGCCAAAAGACGCCAGGATATTGAAAGTTAAACTTCCGAAATTAATCATTTAAGACAACCTGTACTTACTTTAAAGTTTCCTAAGGAAGACTCTAGTTTATTTTTTTATCTTTTCAACTGACAATTGTAGGGATGGAGTGATAATTTATAATCCTAATTCTGAATATGTTTAGCAAGTAAGTAAAGATAATACTAGTAAATAATTAATTAAAAGCAAATTTTATAGAATATATATCTCAAGCCGATTCTTAATACGGGCATGCATCGAAGAAGGTAATTCAAGCAAAAAAAGGCCTTTTGAAAAAGTTGGTCGTGTGATCGACTGTCTGTAAACACAAAAACAATTCTTTTTTAAAAAAAATATCTCAAAAGTAGCAATTGCAATGGTTGCCGTAAATGAGGGGGATTTGTATTGGCTTGCGTAGGAGGGGTTTCCGTGCAGGTGCGTTGGAAACGCTGTAATGCGTAAGAGAAAGATTCTACGACAGTTTGAACATTTCAAAATCAAGATTTGAATGGGAAGCCACTGAACCGCGACTGGGGTGGCAAGAGTTGTTTTTCACTACATATCGAATACCGTAAAATTCCGAAAATAAGCCCCTCCATGTATAAGCCCCCCAAACGGGTAACGTAAAAAACCCGCCGTTAAATCGCCCCTCCAAATTTAAGCCCCCTGGGGGCTTGAAATTGGAAAATTGCCCTCAAATACCAAGTAAAACAAAGCAAAAATGGTAAATTTACATCCAACTATAAGGCTAGCCTAATCCATTTTGAGACGCAAATTTCCCTCCGTAGATAAGCCCCTTTGAATATAAGCCCCTCCAAAAATAAGCTCCTCAAAAAGGGCATTTGAAAAATATAAGCCCCGGGGCTTAGGTTCGGATATGGTACCTTCTATTTGGAGGCCGTTGCAATCGCTACTTTTGAGATATATACCGCTGAAAATTTACGGGTTACCTAATTTTTAAATGGTCTTTCAGTTCCTGCTTAAATCATTTTGTTCCAAAAGTATTGTTTTCATGTTAACAGAAAGTTGATTACGTGACCAACTATTTAATAAAGGTCTATTGACTAGTTTGATTGACAACAGAAATAATAGTCCATTTGAAAGCAAAGCCAAGGGTTTTATAACTAATTGCAAATCTTACAAAGTCAGAAGCATCAAAAACTGAAATGTTTATTTAAGGTAAACTACGTCTAGACTACGATTGCTCAATTGATCCTGAAAAGCCCCTGTATGTCTCAATAAAGCATTTATGTATGTTTCAATAAAGCATGTCAGTATGTATGTTTCAATAGAGGATGTATTGCTTGCTAATTATTAAAATTGAAAGAAACATACTGCAGAATAACGTTCGAAATGGTCTACGTTACAGACAGACGGACTAAGATGAATTTAGACAAAAACCCAAGTTAGGAAGAGGAGAAGGGGAAAGCAAGGCAAAAGGAAAATTAAAGAATTTATTGTAATAGCTAGAAACAAAACCAAATGATTCACTCCTTTGAATAAAGGGTGGCTTTAGTTTAACATAAGTCTCAGAGATTCACGCGCATGGATAATTTGATTCGGACGAGAGGAGTGACTTGCACTGAGATCCCTGATTAGCCTAGCCAGCGTATCAGGCGCTTGGAAGTAGGGGGCGAAAGAGAGAACTGGCGCGCGTGTTCCCTTCTCACGCGCCCGTTTTTTCTTGTGTCCACTACTTCCAAGCGCTTGTTACGCAGGCTATGATTAGCCCCACATAGGGCACATGCCATGATTGTCCTCTGATTTAGCTGCTCTTTGTTCGCTTAGTAATATTCGTAGAAAAGTCAAGTGTTTTTCAACAAATAAAAACTACCTTTTTCCTTTTCACATGTACACGTTTTACATCAAAGTCGACTTTAAAAAGAATTAGTAGTTTTCTGAAAAATGCCCGAGTGCGATGAAATTATTGCAAATTGCGACAACAGTAGCTGATTCAGGCAAAGCACGATGGACAGTTATTACAAAATGCGACAGCCTTTTTATCAAGTGCGATGCATTTATGAATTGTGACAGTACCTCAGGAGTAGAATAAAGTAAGATAAAATGTCTGGAATACTGAAGGTTCTGCGTATTCCATTTTCAAAATTTAGTTACCAACAGGAGGAGACGAAACCCTTTTTCACGTAATTCTTCATTTTAAAACGTTGAACACATAGTAAGTCTGACATCACCTTTTACTTCCGCCTTACTATGTTGATTTGGTTTTAAATAGTCTAAAGCGCTAGCCGTCTCCTCACACCACCCCCTCCCCTAAGAGGCGGCCGGGCAGCCCGTTGGTGGGATTAGGGCGAGGAGACGGCGGCGATGGCACTTCCTGACGTCTTGAAAGACGACTACTTCAGACCAAAGTAACCGACATTATTTATAGTATATGACTTGACCTTGCTTAAATTATGTAGAATATGGCCTCCTCTATATAGACGATCCCTTTCTTAAAACAGCTGTCAGCCGAATTCAATTTTTATTGCGAGCCTTTTCAATCTGAGTCTAAGAATCGATCGATAGCTCTGCATGGCGGCGTACTGGTTTGCGAAAGAGATGACACAAGAAAGAATATAAACTGTTTTTTAATCGGGGTTAATGGCCACAAGCGTCACGTTTTGAATCCAATTATAAAAATCACTCATTAACATCTCTTCAGGAAAAGTTGGGGCGAAAACTATTCGTTACACGTCCAAAAAATATGGTAATCGTTTGTTAAACAAAAGGGTTCTACCGGAATCTAGAAATCAATGTGTACAGTCAATGTCGTGCGCAAATGAATACGCAGTGAGTACTATAGAAAGCATAAATGAAGACCGACACCATTGATTCTTGAAGCTAATGAGTTCCGAATCTTATAATATTCAGTCACGGTCATGTCGTCCCCAAAAATAAAGAGACATAAACTAAGCAAATAAACCAACGCAGATGCAATCAAGGTTTAGCAAACCTAATATAGCAAAGGAACTGATGGCCAGAGATGCAAAAATACGTGTAGAACAACATAGAAACGCTACTGAGTGTCACCACTAACAAAAGGTA